TACATTTTAAAACAATTAAATAAAATAAAATTGAAATTTAAAATGGATAATTCCAAAATTTTCTCTCAAAATTTTCTTAGTGACTGAAGTAATGTAACTAATAAAATAAGCAACTAATAAATCTCTATACTGAATGAGGTGCAAGCATTTCTAATCATTTACTTTCAAATCTTTGCAGATTTAAACATCACCTTATAAAAATTACTACCAAAATCTTGAAACTTAGGCTCGAAAAAAGTTCGCACCTCGTGTCGATATCGTAATCACAAACTGTCTCCGGGTATAAGCAAATTTTCCTGAAGCTGAAAGACAAAAAATAAAGAAAAAAAAAGCGAGCAAGTGCATATAAGACGCTGTACACGTGAACCTGTAGTTTTCGCCGAAGAAAAGCGCCTGTTATTTATGCGAGCGACTCTCTTTATGCGTCCGCCGCTCGAAATATCATATTTAATTTTTATTACATCGGAACAGTGAGAGAGAAAGAGTCTTTTTTTCTGCGTTGCGCCACGTGTATATGTATACGTGTACGTATTCGCGGGGGCGTATGTAAATATGCCTCGTGATACATTGGGATACTCACTTATAAACACCCCATTTTTATTCGGCTAGCGTCTTCTTATATTCCTCCGGCCCCACCTCCTACTTCTTCGGCGATGTAGCCCTCGACCTTTCGCCCGACTGTTTTTTTGCTTATGTATACACACTCGGCTCTCCTGGCTTCTTCTCGGCTATAGCTCAGGCATGCTCGAAATATAATGCGCAGGCATGAATAGCGCTACGTATAAATATGTTTAGATCGTATTGAAAAGTTTTTTATTTTATTTTTTTTTCCATTTAATTTTACAAGCGTAAACACCTCGGTAAAAAGAAACTTCTCGCCTATTATTTTTGACTTTTGCGCGAACTTTATGTACGGCCTTGCACGCCTTGCGAATATCTTTTCTTTTATTTTATTTTCCTTTTTTTTTCTCCGCTTCCACTTGGCCCTCGAGAGATAATATATGTGCCGGGCGATACACGCATGTAACGGCCAATAAGTCGAGATATTGCTTGTACCTTATTCCTGGGACCTGCAAGCTGCGAGAATGTAACGCGTCGCGTGCGTATTTATTATCCAACTTTTTTTGCCCTACCCCTCGGCCGTGCCAATTTTAATTTATGGAAAACATCTGCTCTATTTCTTATCGGCATGCCTGCCTACATACGAACAGATAAATATACTAGCTCGATTGTTTTTTTTTCTCGGCAATTGATCGATGTGTTTGAAAACAAACAATAACAAGAGTGTCAACAATGAAAGATTTGGCTTATCATGTCACTTGGCGCGACATTCGTACATAGTTTTTGAGATACGACCGCAAGTGGCAAAGTTATTTTTAAAAAGAACTACCATCAATGCAGAAAAGTTTACTGAAATTCATCCTTCTTCGAGCACTTGAATATTTTCATCATTTTGTTTTTACATGACAATCGACTCCATGCAACCACATGTGTTTATTTTTTCTTGTTTTTACAACGCGACAAGGAACAATAAACACGACAACACAATGATCGCAGCTATTTTTATTACTCGTTCTCGATCGTGTACGAAGCGACACCTGTGCGGCTCATTGTATATCGGCGTCCAACACATATCGTCGTAGCAGCAATTCGACTCGCTGCGACAACACGACCTTCGACGTTTGAAATTTCTTAAAAACTGGTATAGAGAACGAGGCGCGCACGAGCAGCGCAGCTCTACTCGAGAGTCGCGGCCGATCGCTTGGGCCGCGCAGAAAGGCCAATGACTCGGCATACGCATAGCGCGTACATATAGCAGCATATATACGCGTGCTCGATGGCAAAACTTAACACAACAATTTATTCCAAAGCAAACAACGGCATCCGGTTTACTTGTGAATAAACAACATATTTATTTTGGGAGGCAACACGGCTCTCTTGCATGCGCGACTCTCTGTGTAAAAAGCCACCATATACACACTCACACACACAATGGGCTGCTGCTGGCTCGAGCTCCCACACACCATGGCAGAGCTCGACTCTTGACTCGATGAAATCACTCTCTCCAAGAAGTTGGAGCTGCTGCTAGCGACGCGATCGAGTCGTCCTGCAGCTTTGGCCGCGCGCGCGTCCATCGATCGCGTATATGACTCGACAAATAGCACAGTCTCAATTAAAAAGGTCGCAGCGGCTTCGACAGGCTATTTTATTTTCGCCGGCGTGTATCGATGTTTAAAGAGGCTAAAGTGTGTATCCATGCTCGCATAGCTCTTGTGCTCGAGCTGCGAGCAAGCGAGCTGTGACAAAAAGAAAAACAAAAACTTGGAAGCAGCACTGAAATTGCTTCCCTCGGAGTCGTCGAGAGAGAGAATATACAGAGAGAGAGAGACGATTTTTCAGAAGATCTCGCAAATGCGCGCAAACAAGCTCGCCGCGCGGGAAAGACAAACAGCCATACGAAACAATCCTGTTGAAGCTATATCTCTTTCGTTTTGCCCGCTCGCACGAGGCAGCGCGTCTGTCCCGCGTATTTATTCGATTCATCAGCATTCTTGGACGCGCACACGCACGAAGAGAGAGAGAAAAAATACTTGGCACCGCTGCGTGTGCACACAATCGCACGATGTAGTGCCGCGCGTCGAGTCGAAAAATGTTGCACCCCTCGGCCGATCGTTGCTGATTTTTGGCTACGAATTAGCCAAAAGTTGAGTTATATGCGTGCTCCGATTTTTCCGACGAATTATAAATTACCGAATTCGCTTTAAATCAAAATAATACCAGGCGAATGTCGCGATCGACGCGATACGCATAACTCCAAGCTCGCATACGGCGACCATCAATCTCGCACCTATATACGTTATTATACACTCGCTACTCTGTGTGTACACGTCTAGCCAATGACTTATCTGCTATTCATCCTTTGCTGCACAGCAACTGCACACGTACACGGTGTAAGTCGTGTATTATACACCTGTGTAGGCGCACATGTATATAAAACATCGTTAAAGGCGCGCGCGCGCATACGGATAGGGAAAAGCGACTGTGCAACCTAATTCGGCAGATAAGATAAGCTCGTAAAATGCATTGCTGCGCGCCTACTGCTGCTTCGGAGCCGTGTTTTATTGCTCCCTATCCGGCTCGAACGATCTCTGCGCTCGACTACGAGTCGAGTCGAGTCTTACTACCCCTGAGGTGCTGTCGCGCCCGCACACACACACACGCACGCGCACACGGACATACGCGCGGCTACAGCGTGAAAGCGAGATTTATATCGTTAAAATTCGATCGACAGTCATTTTTCTGCGGGCGCGCCGCGCGCTGAATTCCTGATGATCGACGCAGCTTTCGAGAAACGCCAAACAAAGCTTTCGATAGAGTTATTAAGCAAAGCTCGATCGACTCGCGACTAAATTCGCGCTCTCCGACCGACTTCCGCGAACCTATAAAGCCAACAAATTCCACATATATACAATATTATATATGTACATTCAAAAACACCAATATAAACGCCGCATGATTTCGAGCTTGTAATGGATGGAGCGAGAGAGAGGAAGAGGGTAACGTGCATTAAATTCCGCGAAAAGCTCATAATGAGCGCGCGCACCGCTGTATGTCTACATTTTCAAAGGATTGGGAAAATATATATTCGGCACGTATTCGCTAGCTTATTTTCCGTGAATAGCGCGCGTAGGCGGCTATATAGCCCCGCACGCGTGTACTCTAACTACCAAAAGAGAGAGAGACAGAGAGAGACTGTAGCAAGCTTTTGATTCATGAATGTGACTTTATGGGCTGATTATCGTCGATGCGATTTATTATATGCCTCGGCACAAAATGGCCCTTTTTTCATATGCTAATTGAAGACCGAGTAAGAGAGAGAGAGAGAAAGAAGCCTTTCCGCCTCTCTTGTTTGATGCCAAGCCAAAGTTGTGTTTCAAATTTACTTTTTTTTAACCAACCAACTCTGCGCTACGCATATAATTAGATATTCGAAAATTGTGCAAGTTTTCAATGCCCGAGCTCGAAATTGCGCAAAATGTAAATTTGCTTTAACGAGAAAATCATGGCAGATTTCTCTCTGGGTAATTAAATTGATGGAAAAATTGTATAAATTTTTAACTCGAGCGCCGTTCCTGTCACCCAAACATAACGGCATCGTCCGCGAGCAAAAAAAATGCCATATCGCCTTGGCCCGTACGCGCGTATACACTGTAAGTATGTGGAAGACAAAGTGTTCTCATTACACGAGGCGCGGCTGATTTATGCCCTCGGCGGAGATTTTCTCAAAGTGCACGACGAGGAAAAAGTTAAAAGAAAAATATAAGCCTTATGGGGTGTAAAGTTGAGAGTTATAAAGAGAATATGGAAAATTCGAGGGAGCGCAGCGAAGAGCTACCTTTTTTTTTCTCGCGCTACATCAACTTTCGGATCTACCATCTTTATGATGTACCTGTTATTATTGCTTAATCAGATGTGTGTCATTCGTTGTAAATAGCGTCTATTCGAGCAATTTTCGCGATAAAACGACCAATTTCGACGCAATGTAAGCTTCTCGGGGCTTCGAACTCGACGGCTTTTAAAAAATACGCGAGCCTTTGCATTTTTCCAGGCTCTTGAAGCATGTATACGCGGTAAAAAGTTTTTAGCTCCGCGACGAGAGCGAGGGAGATGAGAGTATCAGTGAAAAAGTAAAGCTGAATGATAATTGTTCTCGAGTAGCTTTTGAGCTTTTGTATATATACAACGTACTCGGGTGAGCTACTCACATCGGCTTGTTACATTTTATACCGAGTCGACAATGATATTCGGGCTAAAAAAGAAAGAAGCGACTGGATTTTTCAGCAAACATTAGCAATGCGTAAGCTTATACGTAGGCTTTGTTTGATCAGTTGTGGAATCGCCTTTTCCTTTTTATCGCGTGCGCGGCGAGGCCCTATCTGCACATTTTAAGTAACTTATTTTCTGTTTCCAGCTAAATTTCTCAATGCGATTGATTGCAGGGTCACATTGGCGAGAGCCCGTTCGACAGCGGCTCCTGGACAAAGGATCCGTTTCAGCCAACGGCGCCGGCACCGAGCGTGCTTCCTTGGCAGGCGACGAGCGCACGCGGCCACAGCCGAACGAATGTGAGTTTTTCGCCCTTTACTTTTTTGTTTTTTTTTTTTTTGTTTCGTAAAAAATAATAAATAAATGGACAAGAGGCGATTGGAAGGCAACAAGGTCTCCTTGAGCCGGAGGAATCGCGCGGTGCGTGCGTAGGAAATTTGATGCGCGACTAAGCTCCGATAAAAGCCACGAGGAGAAGAGGAATATACGCGGCTCGGGTCATTCAGGGGCCGTTTAATCCCGCTTAACAGACTGTAAACGCGCAGCTCTCGCTTGGACCTCGGCGTTAATGGACACGGCGCACGGAAAGCTATATACGACGGCTCGGCTATATATGCTGGGCCGGGGATGCTGCCGCTGATATACTAATAATCCCCCTGTGTGGGCTAATCGCACAAGATACTCTCCTCGCTTAAAGATCGCAAATGTGTACGTATAAACTTGTTAGAAAGAGCAGAGGCATGCGCGATAAGGAGAGCAGAATCGAGAGAGAGAGAGATGCAAAGATAAAGTCTATAGTATTTCTCTCTCCTCCTGCTGCTGCTGGTCGGACGGCCAGCTCATGCGTGAGTAATTGTTGATTTTTATGCATTTTTCCTTGCAACGCGCCGAAAGGTCAACGTTAATCGTCCTCCGCGTTGGCGTAGGGAGCATTTTTTGCTCGATTTTTCTCCCCTCTTTTACTTTTATCATCTATTATGTATGTCCAAAGTCCAGGCCGCTTCTAAATCACTGCAACAATAAACGCTGCTTGTCGCTAGCTTGGGTAATACTTTTCGAGCGACTCGCACACACACACACACACACACGAAGCGCGAGAAAAAAAGGAGCATAAAGCAGTGGCTGTAGCACAGCGTAGAATGGCTGAGAAAATGAAATTTGTAATTTTGCTCTTTAGATATATTTATATGTCGAGGAGAGGTCGTCGAGCAGCTAGCAGAGCAATGGCCATTATGCTCACAAAGACTTGTAATGGCTTGATAAATTTAGAATGTATAAGGTTACATTGTCCACAGCGCGCGCGGAAATTTAGTACACGCAATGTTGTCTTGATACTGCGCTGCCGCCTATATACACGTATAATACGTACATACGATCGCGCGGGTGCTTTATTGTGATTAATTATATACGATCTTATGAAGTTGGACTTGAAAATAAATAATCGGCATGTATGCGCTGTCGTCGTCGTCGTCGTCGTCGTCGTTGTTGCCGCTGAGAGTCGTTGACTCGCCTCGGCTCGAGCTGCAGCGCGCGCGACATGCGCCAAGGAAACGTGTCATCGATTTTCAAACAATCGCTGACGTTTTTGTTGTAAGACACAGATCGATTATTTTACACTGCTTTCGAATCATAACAAGAACTCGAACGCACGTATATTATGTACATTATAATAACGGCAAAGAAAAATACGAAAGACAAAAAAGTATCGATCGATATACGAATTGGCCAATAATACGTATCGACCAATTTGTTTCGAGATAGAGCACACGTGCTGTTGTTTCGGCCGATGCGCACGTTCAATGAATGCCGCGCGATAAGAGCTGCACGATCCGTAACGAGACTCTCGTAACGAGACGCAGAAGCTGCAGCTAAGCGTAAGATATCTTACACCGTCAGCTCGTCCGGGTCGTATTTCCATGTTCGCATTAATCGTTGTACAGCTAAACCGGCCGATAAAAAGTTTTGTATGCGCGCGAGTGTATTTCTGTTAAAGGATACAACGTAACGCGCGGCGATTCGCTCAAACTCACTCGAAACGTTTAAGGTTTTTTAAAGAGAAGACAAGGCGAAACCGTAGCAGTTCCCAAAAGTCGAGCTATGAGACTAATAAAACGATACAAGATTTCGAGAGAGAAGAGAGAGAGAAGAGAGAAGAGAAGAGAGAGAGAGCTATAGAAAGGAAAAGGGGAAGCCCTCGACTATGTTCGTCTGCGCCACGTAACCGGCTAATGATAATAATAAGCGGCCGCGACATCGTGTCTCCGAAATCTTATAGCCCCCTTACCTCGAGGGAGCTTCCAAGCTCGACTTTCGGCTATACACTTGCTCTTGATTAGAGAAAACTTTTTATCTAATTGTACGCAACGCGTGTGTATAGTTCATTGGCGGCTTGGCGTCTCAGGGTCGCTCGATATACCATTGTACGACGTTTTTCCGAATACGACTGCAGCGTCGACTCGCGCGCGCGAGTGCAAACTCGACGCGTCTAGCTCTCTGTACTCGGCCTCGGCGCTGCGACTAGCTGTGCTGTTTAGTATGCAAAGAGACCAGCCATTCATCTCCCGATCTCCGGCGGATATAAATTAGCTTTTGTTTAGCATTCAATGGTGTAATTCCTTGCAGCGGGCAAAGGGAAAAGTATATACGGCAGCCTGGCTCGTCTTGGTTCCTCGTCGGACGCAATTAATGCGCCGGAGCCAATTAAACATTGCTTTGCCCCCCCGCCCGACCGCCCGCGAGTTTGGAGCAGCTCCACCACCGACACACGGCATGAAATTTTCGATGCGCCACGCGATCGATTGCCGAAGCCCAAGTCGAGTATATAAGCAAGCCCCTCGCAACTAAAGAATAATGGGCCACAAGTTTTCTCTCTCTCTCCCCGCCACACTCGCTCGGTTGCAGGCCAATTGCCGACGTACTACCTTCGTATACCTTAACTTGTTTCTCGCATAGTTTGATTGCTATATATGAGCAGCTCGCAGCTATATCGTTTCTTCGAGAGCTTCCGTCTAGTTATATACTTTTCCAAGCGTAAACTTGATTCATAGCCGTACTTACTTTAATCGAGCGTACTTTAATGACGTCTTTCTCTCTCTTTTTTTTTTGTTTTTGCCCCGTTCGTTTCTCTCTCGTCTCGTTTCGTTCTTTGGCTTGGATCGTTTCGTCGAGGAAGGAAAAAATCGATGAGGAAATTTAGTGGGACACGCGCAGCCGCAAATGTAGGCCTCGTGGCGCGCGTTGGAGGGCTTGGCTCGCGGCACAGCAGTTGGCAATTGCGATATCGCAGAAGGGTTGCTCCCCTCGTGCTGCTGCTGCTCGCCGAGGCCTGCCTGCATGCAGCTCGCGAGCCCTCGAGAGAGTCAAGGTCATCGTCGCGTATCTACGATCGCGGATCAGCTCATCGGTCATTGACTCGTCGCTACTACTATTACTACTACTGCAGCTTATAAACGACGAATTCGGCCAGGATCGCGAGTGCACATTTGTCGAGGGCCGTAAACGCATCTCGTCTGACGCGGCGTTGAACTTTCCCCGGGAGTCGGTGTGGCCTGTATACACAACACAACATGCAGCAGTAGTATAGCTATGGCATGTATATAGGCTGTGCACGATGTGTACAGCGGCGCAACTCGGCACAACAAGTGGGAGGCAGAGAGAGAGAGAGAGAGAGGCTGGCGGGTGGCAGTCCCACTCTTGTGTACTCTGCCACTCTGCTCGAGATATATAACAACAACCTGCTGCTATAGCAGCAACACAGCAACAGCAGCTATATTTCCCCTCTCGGCAGGCAACTCGCTGCCGATGCTGCCTGCCTCATGCGCAGCGTAGTAGTAGTAGTAGTAGTAGTAGTAGTTGTGTGTAACATCCACGTGGCTTGTCTCGCCTCTAAACAAGCCGCGTATACAGCCTTCCCTCCCTGTATCATATACCTCGCGCTGTGGCGTCCTCCTGTTGCTTCGCGCCGCACTCGCTGTACACGTCCCTCTCCCCCGTCCGTGTAAACTCCGCATCCCTCCCGTCGTCGGTACCTATACGTTCCTCGTATTCCTACCTGGCGAACGTTTGCAGCTCTTCGAACTTCGAGACGTGTCTCGGCCTCGCGACTCTCCCGCTAATAGTAAGCGCTAATTGCCCTCTCGCAAGCCCCGAGTTTGCCTATGTTTCCCTCGTTAGGCACCTAGGAAAGATTTGTAAATTTCCGCTTCCGCAGCTGTCTCGGAGGCTGTTTGCGCTCCTCCCCGAAACTTGCCGAATGATATAACACCACGACACGTGCACACCTTCCACCGGTGTACTATTAATAATCAACGCCGTCCGTACAGCGGCGTATATTCGTAGCGTTGCTACGCCAACGTGTTTGCGAATCGACCATTTGTGTGGCAACGGTAACAGGATACTTTTTGATACTTTTTGCCAGAATTAAATCGCGATGAATTCGCTTTCTCGAGACTAGCGGCGTAGAGAGATGCACGTATGCCGGATATACGTGTTGCTCGCGAGCTCAATTTTCACTCGGACGTATTATTTATACAAAGCCCGACTGCACACAGACGCTTTTCGATGAAATAACAGCTGAACAGGGAAGAACGAATCAATCGTTGGCGTCGCCTGCAGCTAGTTTCGAGGCTCATCAATTTTTCAGCTCTTTTCCGCATATACAGTCCAAGCTCGAGTAATTACGAATACGGTTGCGCGCGTCAATTTTTTGTTGACCTACATCGACGTACAGCTAGATAGCACACGTACAGTTCCGCTATTGATTTGTCAATTTTGTCTTTCTTTGCGATATACGATGGTGCGTCGTGTGCGCGTGTAACAAAGAGACGGAGCAGGCCGAGTTTTGCGACGACGAGAATTGCTCCAGTACGAAGACGTATACGTAGTCGTAGTCGCATAATAGTAGTAGTAGTAGTAGTAGCAGTCGTCCTCCGACAATGGCCGCGTGAATTTTCTCCTCTCCAGGGAGGATGCCGGTCAATGCTGCGTAGGATCTGGGCGCGGACTCTGTGCTTCTCCTCTCGCGCCGATGCAGCAGAGAGGCACGCGCGCGCACGAAGTTGCTGCTGCTCCAGCTAGAGCTAGCTCGCTCTGCGGCTTCGAGCTCGTCGCACGCGAGGCTCGACTAGGATACGTTGGCTGGCTTCGTTCGTAGCGCTCATACTCTGGCCAGCTGTAATGGTCCCTTTGCCGGTGCTAACAAAGGGATCCACGCTGTATGTATGTGCAGTCGAGCCAACTCGGTCCACGCAGGCTAACTCGTCGTTCAGACCGCAGCGTGATTAAGATGCCCTCGGAATTC